GCAGCCGTAAGTGACTGAAAGGCTTTAAGTAATGAGAAAGATGAGGTAACAAATCCGAAAAGAAGTTGACAAACCCACACACAGAGTTCACATCTCTTCCAGTAATCGGTGTTGACAAATCCAACAGAAGTTGTTTCTTGCCAGGATCAATTTCTACCCCTGCTGCAGATACCTTGTAACCAAGTAAGTGTATAGTATCTTTAGCAAAAGAGCACTTGTCCTCGCTAATCTTAAGTTTGGCATGGTTTAGTCGCTTTAAGACTTCCTTAACGAGTTTAGCATGTTCATGTGCTGTCTTTGTAAAGATAACTATATAATCTAAATATACTGATACGTTATCCGACAGGTCCGCAAATAGTTCCATCATAACTTGTTGGAAGAAAGAAGGTAACATGTTTAAGACTTCAGGTGCACCTTTAAACTGGTACTTCTTACCTTGCCAAGTAAAGGAAAAGTATTTCCTATGCGACTTATATATTTGTAATTGGTGAAATGCAGCTTTTAAGTCTACCTTGGAAAAGATAGTTAATTTTGCGTAGTATCCCGCTTATCTTTGGTAAGGGAAAGCTATGTTGCAGAATTAGTTTGTTGATTAGCTACAGGTCTAGTACTACTCTTGTTTTATTAAACGTTCCATCAGATTTTATTGATCGACCGCTAAGAGGGCTAAGTCAACTGGGGTTGCATCATAATTGATTTCAATTAGACCCTGTTTCAGTCAATCTTCAATTTGGGGTTTGACAACGTTTTTGTGTCCACAACTCACGTAGTTATGTGAGGGACACTGTAACTTAGAGAAGTCGACGTTTGTCAAGTCAAGCTTAACGTACCCGTTAGAGAACTTAAATATACACCAGACAGTTATTGCAATCTTCCTGTTTTGTATAAATCCATCATTATATCGGTAAAGTGCGGAATCATATCCTTTGTTTCACCTTCCGGAGGTTTAGGTATCTTTGACATATTATCGGTCTAGCCCATCTGGCAGACCAGTGAGGAACTGAGAAGATTAATCATGACTGTAATTAAATCTAAGAAGTATTTAGTCTTAGTTGTTAGACTTAAGAAGTTTTTAGCCTTAGTTGTTAGGCTTAAGAAGCATTTAGTTACAGTTGTTAGACTTAAGAAGTATTTAGCCTTAGTTCAAAGACTAAATGCTTCTTAAGCCTAAGTATTTTTATTGAGAGTTAGACTTTAGAAATTCAAAAGATCAAAGTGATAAGCTTTGGCATTTTGTCGTATTTTTTTGACATAAGAAACATTTCATAGACTTCTTCTAAATATAGTCATAATTTTATATTAGTCATAAGGGATTTTTTAAATCATAAAATTTAGGCACAAAGAGGTTTATCATAATTTTAGTCATAAGGCTGTTAGCCATGGTTTTTTTAGTCACAAGATTGTGAGGCATAAGAAATTCCACTCACGTCTCACGGGTGTAAGCCTGATCAGCCGTCAGTCGTCACTTGTCACAAGTTGTCAGGCGTCACTCGTCAGGACTCAGGAGGTGTTGCACAAGTCACAACTCGTTTCGAACGTGTTACAATTTGCAACATGCAAGTTGCAACTCGTCGTAAAATTCCATTGAACCTTTTTTGTTTTGTTTTGAAAATAGTTTGCTTTGTTTTGAAAAAAGAAGCATTCCTAGAGTTTTGTTTGTTTTTTGAAAACATGTTTATTTCTAGAGGTTTTTGTTTTGTAATTGTTTTTTTCAGGGGGTATGGAAAACAATCTTGTTTTGTTTTTTGTTTTTGTAAAAACAAAACAAAAAAAACAAAAAAAACAACAACATATTTAGCCTTCTAAAATAGACAAAAAAACTAAAAGCGATTTTTTTGTTCTAAAATATTTAGGTCTAAAAAGTCTATGTCTTCTAAATAAAATTAAAAACAAAGGAGGCTAAAATATGACAAAACCTTGAATAAAAAACTTCTGAAACATTTAAAAAACAATGTTTTATTTTAGAAGGCTATGAACATTGAAAAGGGAGAGCTCGGCGGGTGATTGCGGTGTCTGTATTTTGAATTCGTTCTATATTATTCAGTACCGAACTCTTACTTCTCAGCACATAAATACATCCATCACAGTGTGACCCAAAATCTCGCAGACAAAAGAAAAGCACCGACTGATTGACAGCCATTAGGAACACTGTTATTAAAAATCTTTCTCATTGGACGCTCAATCTCTGATTTTCATCTTGTCTGGTTATACAATATACGACACCAAATCAATATACAACGCACACACATATACAGTTATACACACCCATCACAGGCTTCACAGCACTAATAAATGTACCCTGCAGGGAAATATATATAAATATATAGAGCGAGAGAGTGACAGACTCAGTCTTGTTCTCAGACTCAGAGTCTCCACTCTCTCCAGTCTCTCACAGAGCCTCCAGATTCGAGACTCCAGAGTCCAGAGGCTCAGAGTCTCAGACAGACAGACACTCATCCCGACAGACTGACACTGTAACAGTCCGTTACCGTGTCCGAGGTCCGAGACTAATCAGAGAGACAGAGACTAGTAGTAGAGAGACTCAGAGAGAGACTCTTATTTATCAGTCTGTTTTCAATAATCATATAAATATTCTATATTCATTTTATTCTAATATTTACCCCCCCCCCCCCAGAGAGTGAAATGCGGAAAAATAGAACGTCTTCGTCTTTCTCTAGTTCTACTCTGTTATAGCTAGACTCTTCACTCTCTACTCTTTGAGTAGAGTGTACATAGAGCCATAGAGACAGAAGAGTGAAGACTGAAGACTGAAGACTACTACTACTCTACTAGAGAGAAAGAGTAGTGAGAGAGAGTAGTAGAGAGTAGAGAGAGAGAAAGAGTAGTAAAGACAATAAATTATCAAGACATAAATATTATTAGGTAATTGCACTGCTTGCAGTGACGTGTCTAAAAACTTGAAAGGGCTCTAAGCCTTTTCTTTTTAAAATAAAAATAAATAGTTTGGTAAAAAATATCGTTATGAATTCATGATGAATTGATGAATTGATGATGAAGTAAAAATTATCGTTATGAATTCAAATGAACAGTTCACAAAGAAGTGGTCAACACTCAAGTCTCGTCTCAACAGTCGTGCATCACAGATTAATATATATGTAACATAGTTTATCTATACTTTATTCTCATCTTGCTTGTGTTTTGTCAAAAACTAAAAAATACAAATATGACCCGGCCTCTCCCTCTCTCTCTCTTTCTCTCTAGAGAGAGGAACTCTTATTAGTCTCCAGTTTAGAGTATCTGAATACTGTACAGAATGTTGAAATGCAACAATTTTTTAAAATAGAAATATAAAAAAACAATTACGCGTGTTTTATAATTTATGAGCCCGCACTGCGAAATACCGACCAATTTTTGAACAAAACATTTGTACCAGAACTTGGTACAAATGAATAATTTGAATAATTTGAGCGATTTTCAACAAAATATAGACCAATGAATATCGATTTAATGTCTATCAGAAGGAAATTTAACAACCAATAATATTGCTAGCTCATAGTAGTTGAAAACACAAATTCTAGAAATATCTTTTTAGAAATAAATATTATTAATTTTGTCACAATCTAATTGAAATATTATTTTAACTAGTCTTTTCATTACTATGATATTTATATTTAAATGAGCTTTGATTGCTACTTCATTAACTGATTTTCATTGATCAATATTTATTCTATTTTTACATTTCTTGGTTGTTTCTAAACAAAAATCGATGGTTGACAGGTGTCAAATGATACTTATAAAAATAATATTATATTTATAAAAAGAAGACTCGCTCTTTTTATTAAAAAATAATATAGTCATTTGTAGAGTCATTTGTGCTTCAAAATTTATTTATTTGAAGCCTGCGAGTATAAATTTCCTTCGCGTTTTTGCCAATATATTTAGATTTTAGGATGCACTCCGATGCAGATATTGCAGTCTGTCGAACAACTGTACAAAACTTTCGAATAAAAATTGGAAAATAGAACACAATCAACACATATTGGAACATATTTCAGAGTACTTTTTTATGGGTATCTTGGATTCTAGTGCTCTGGCAGATTGAACACGCACGGCACTGATTTTATCGCAAATCTGAGGAGATTTTAAAGGCTTTCGGATCGATGCTAGTTGAGTAACGTTACTCCGCAGTTCCAGCCGTATGTTCCACACACAAACTACTAGTATTCACTATTCCGTATTCGTAGAAATAGTCAAATAGCTACTAAAAATATTTGTTTGACTCCAGGAGTCCACCAGAATTCAGAGTAGAACAAATTTTAGTAGGCCTGCGCCGGTGCGCCCTGTCGGCATGGCACTCTGGCAGCCCCTACTCTACTCTTGTCCTAAGTTCAATACGTTAGGGGGGTACGGAATAGAAGATGAACATAAACGCATATATATTCAATTTAAAAAAATATGGTATAACGGCTATAATGTGATCAGATGAGCCTACCCAAAATCTTTTTATAGGACTGGCTTGTATATTTAGAAGACTAGACACTTGATTTTTTATACCCGAAAAGTGCACCTAACTACATACAGAGGACCGTATATGGAATAAAAGTGGAACGTAAACTTATACTTATTCGATTTATAAAAGTTTAAACGAGGTCTACTCTACAGTCTCTACTACTCTACTGGTTTTGTGTGAAGTGTAATCTTGAACCCTAAGACTGTGAGTGTGGCGGTGTGGCCTGTGAAGCTGTGTGCTATGTGAATATGTACTGTGCTTGTTTATTTTTTAAATCCAGTATTTCACAGTTTGTGTGGTTTGTGTGTGTGACTGTAATAAAAGACTGTGAGTGCGAACTGCGAACTCAGCGAAGTGTGCTGTGAACAGTAAACACAGAAGTCTGAACTCTGAACTACTGTGAAGTTGTGAATATGTTTTTCAACAAAATATAATAAAACCATTGTACAAATGTGTATAAAAAAGTTGTATGTATTCAATTTTTTTCTATTATTTTCTTGGTATTAAAAAACGACCAAAAGAAGCAAGGCAGTAGCCTCTAGTCAGTAGGCTAAATATGTATTTACATTATGAACTTCTTCTGAAGGTCAAATGACTCGCAACATCTCACAGGTAAGCACACTATTTAGATCAGAGCTTTATCCATTTATACACGAACGAAAAAACACCCCCTGTAGTATGGTCGAGTTGCACAGTCGCATCTCAGAGTTGGTCAAGAGATTAGTTTGAAACGTTAGTGCCAGAGAGAGAGAGTATACCTGAATCCCCTTTCCCTTTTTTTTTTGACAATGTCTGCGCCTACGAGGTCAGAGATAATACCTTCGGATGTTCGAGTAGACTGCGACGTGGAAATACCGATAACCATGTGCGAACCTATCACGACCTCGAACAAGGTAATTGTGTGTTTTCATAGTATACTGTACATAATTTTTACTCGTACAGGAAAGTTTGAAGTGCGAAATTCAACTTATAGCGAACACAATAACGCAATCGTAGTATATTGCAACTTTGAATGCATAGTCAAATGTATTTAGGCAATAAGTCTACACATCGCCCTGATCTTGTCTACAGTATAATATAGTTTGCAACAGGTTTTTCGTCTGGATATTAATTTGAGTTGATTAGTGGTTGCATGTGTCATTGGGTTTATGTTGTATGTTACTTGCGGTTGTATGTGTTATTGCGCTAGGAGTTTGAATAAGCTCACTCCTATACCAAGGCCCCTAGGGTTATGATATATATTTAATACACGTACACAAGCACATGTTTGTACACACGCATTTACATATTGATTTATAGGTGTATGTCCATTCATTTTGTATTCTATAGTTTTGCAATCTTGGTAGTTTTGTATTCACAAGGATATAAGTATCTAAAATCATATACAGTTATACCTGTATAAAAACCAGTGTTGCTGATGCTTATCTATGTGCTGAACAAATATTTTTATGTGATATATATATTTTTATATATTTATATGCTTATATATATATATACACACACACACGCACACACACACACACACACACACACACACACACACANATATATATATATATATATATATATATATATATATATATATATATATATATATAATAATAATAATATATATATATATATATATATATATATATATA